GACACTGGCGACTCAAAGCCCCGGATGTGTGGGTTCCTTTCTCTGCAGATCATGGGGCCCTTGATTGTGCTTGTGGGGTTGTGTTTCTTCGTGATTGCCCACATTAAGAAAAGAAACACGCTGAATATTGGCCAGGATGCCTCTGAGAGAGAAGAGGGACAGATCCAGAGTATGGAGGCTGTCCAGGTCACTGTAGGTGGGTTGCTGTCATTTGCGTTCTTGCTTCTATCACAGTGGCTTTGCAGCAGGGTTTCACCAGCTGCTCTTGGTTCTCATCTGGATTCTCTTTCTCACTTCTTCCATCTCTCACACCTGTGTGTGCATACACGCGCACACCCCCACCATGTGTACATACACAATGCTGCTGCTGTGGGAAGCCCTGTAGGAACCTTGCATACATCGTTTTCCCCCAGCAACTCTTTCCTACTTTGCAAAGCATTGGGATATTAAATTGACCTTGACCGAGGTCACAGAGCAAATTAAGAGGAAAGTGAGAAGAACCGTGAGGACAGCCTTGGAGCCTTCTACCACCTTAGGGACTCACTAAGTGACCGTGTTACCCCTGTTATTCTCACACCAAAACCACATAGCATTTTAGTTGTGGGACACTTGGGTTCTCCTCCCAGGCTGTCACTAGCTGGCTGTCCTTGTAAGTCCTTAACCTCTCCTGCGTTGGTTTATATCTCTGTAAAACGAGCAGTACCTCTCTAAGATTCCTGCAGCACTAACATTCTAGGATTCTGGATCTGTCCGAGTCCAGCAGTCTTCAGGTGTTTTGAGGGGCCTCTGCACTGTCTCTGTGTTGTGACAGTGTCTCTTTTTTGTGACATCATCCGTGGCTGCAGGGCTGAGGCAAAGCTTGGAAGCAGCAGGATGAACCAAGATGGACTATGACAGCACCTGTCACTTCTTTCTCCCATGGAATGCCTACAAGTTCCTTTTGGGTCCCCGGGTTCTACAGAAGAGATAGAGTGCCATTTCCCGGAGCCTGCCCCCTCAGAATGATGGCAGTAGCACTGGCCTCAGCTTCACACAACCAAGGAAAAACCCCATCGCTGCTCACTGGCAGATCACTTTTTTCCAGTCTCCTACTTTTGAAAGAGTGAAGTTGTGAAACCAATGACATTTAAAAGGCTAGGAAAAGAGGTCTGCAGAACAGAAAGCATGGAGGGGACAGAGAGGGAGTGTGATGAGTGAGATGTGTGTGCTGTTTGGGGCTGTCTACTGGAAGCAGTGGAATTCACTGACCGCAGCCTGGAGGGGAGGAACTGGGTTGCTGGACTTGCATGGCACCAGCCTTGGAGAGGAGGGGCAGATGGATCTGCAGCCATTCCTTGTGTAGAGCCAGGGTGGATGCTCCCAGCTTACTGATTAATATATTTATGCATTAATATATTTATGGTGACAACACAAATGTTAGTTATATATTCACAATAGCTAACACTTATATAGGGTCTGTTTTTGTGCCAAACACCCATTTAAGTGCTTTATCATGTGCTCTGAAAGGTCCCCCTGTGTGAAATTCATTCACACCTACAGCAACCCGAGGAGGCAGATACTGTTAGTACCTCCATGTTACACAGGAAGAAAATGAGGCATGTAGATATCAAGTGACTTGCCTAAGGTCACACCCTAGCAAGTGGTAGAGCAAGGTTCCAACCCAAGTGTGTGGGCACACCCACAGAATAGCCTTTGCATGGCACCCTGCCCAGGGCACGTGGGTGTGATTCCATTCTTGGAAGTTATTACATGAAAAAGGGGCTCCCTTTAATTTGACAGATATTCTCAGTGCTTTTGACGAACACCGTGGGGTATAAGTAAATATGTTCATCCAACGCTGCTATGCTTCCATTTAGTTGGGAACGGTTCAAGGGGAGTTTTTGGGCCCAGCCTTCCACCTGGTGGCTAGAATCAGAGTGGAGGCAGGGGACAGAGCCGAGGTGCTGCTCCTGGTGTCCTTGTCCTGAAGTTGGCACCTCATGGTTTAAAATCTTTTCAACTTAACCCTTTAAACCCCCATCAAACGTATGAAAATCTTGCATCCTAACTCCTCTCCTTTGATATTGTGGGATAGGGTTTACATTTGTTGAATCCGAGAAGCATGCTCTCTCTCCTTGTTGTGGGGACACTCAGTGCTATCCTGGATACACAGCAGGTGTATGAGACAGCGCTCCCTGGAGGGGTGTGTCTGTTGTCCACTCACAGAGGACGTCAAGTTTTGAAAGATACATGAAAGGGAACTCGCAGAGGAGCGGCCTCTTTCCAGGGAGAGCAGGTTGCAGGGTGTGGGCAGGCCGAGCTGCTGGGACAAAGGGCTGGAGAGCCTTGGAGGTAACAGGTTACTGGAGCATTTCCTTGTGTGTTTTTGAGAGGTGACTGGCCTGCCCTCAAGGCTTACTTCACAGGTTCTTTATTCTACAGTGTGTAATGGAAGTGAACACAACCCCGATTCCTCTTAACCTACCAAGACCTTCTAAAAAAGTAAATGAGAATCCCAGGACAACTATTATGCTTTCTCACCTTTAGATTAGCAAAACGTATTTTAAACTCTCATTGCCTTCTCCTTGCAGAAGGAAGGGGAGATAGAATTAATGCATTTTCTGAAGGGCTAAATTCCCTCTGGGAAATGATTGAGGCTGCTGTGGCTTATGAAGGGTAGAGAGTGGAGCCAGTGGCCAATTGCCTCTGTGGTGTTTCTTCATCATGCAAATCAGTACCCTTGGCTGGTGTTGAGCTGAGAGAGCTGGCTCTGTACTCCTCACTGTGTTCACTGCCAGATGCAAATCGGCCCATCTAGTCCTTCCTTCTACCTGTCCTGTGATGCAGGTACCACCCAGCCTGCAGCTGTGGCGGCTGAGGTCAAGGAGGTCTCCTAGCTTGTTCAGGTTGGAACCCCCATCATTTTAAAGAATCCTATGCCACCCTAAGCAAGTGTCAGACGTGCTAGGAGTGCGAACCACTCTCCTGCCTACAGGGAAGTAAAGCCACATCTTCTTCCTTTTTTCTGAACTGCTATTGCTATTGCCAGCTTCTTAGAGGCTTTCCCCAGGCCCCCAGCAGTGGTGCTGCCACAGCTGTACACTGTTCTGGGCCAGTGGTGTGGTGCATTTTATATTGGAATCAGAATACAAATTAGAGCTTGCATCTGGTCCCTAGTTTCTCCTCAAAACATGAGGATGTATTCTGGAGTGAACAGTAGCCACAGAAATGCAAAAACCAAACTTGTTTGGGTTCGACCTTCATCTGTATAGTTGGGTGAAATTTTGGTAAATAACAGTTAGGGACTGTAGTATGGCTTATTGTCATTTGCTCAGGGGCTGAAACTACATTTGAGCAACAAGGCACTTTAGCTAACAGCTAACTTGTGAATTAAGTTGTAGGCTGGAAAAGAGAAAAGCTTTATCAGCAGTAAACACCCCAGAGGAGGGAAGGGAGCTCGTTAGCAAACAATTCACAGAGAGGCTTGGGCTTAGACTTGCTACGAAATATAGACCCACTTTCATACCATAATGGTCAGCACTCTGGATTCTGAAATGTAGGCCTACTTTTAAAAAATTTGTAGTTAAAAAAAAAAAAAAAAAAATATATATATATATATATATATATATATATAGCACATAAACAATTTGAACTGCTTTTTGTTTTGTTTTGTTTTTTGTTTTGAGACAGAATCTCACTCTGTTGCCCAGGCTGGAGTGCAGTGGTACAAACATAGTTCACTGCAGCCTAGAACTCCTGGGCTCAAGCAGTCCTCCTAGCTCAGCCTTCCCAGTAGCTGGGACTACAGGCGTTTACTCCCACATCTGTCTAATTTTTTTCTTTTAATTTTTTTGAAATGAGATATCGCTATGTTGACCAGGCTGGTCTCCAACTCCTGGGCTCAAGCGATCATTCCTCCTCAGCTTCCCAAAGTGCTGGGATTATAGGTGTGAGCCACTTCACATTTTTAAATGGTTTAGTGGCGTTGAATACAGTCACAATGTTGTTCAACCATCATCATCATCAATTTCCGGAACTCTTCCATTATCCCAAACAGAAACTCTGTACTCACCAAACAGCAATTCCCACTCCCTTCCCCACTCCCCAACCCCTCCTGGCCCCTGGTAACCTAGTCTACTTTTCTATCTTTATACATTTAATGGGCTCACTGTTAAATTCTGGAGTTAGCAGCAGGTGTATTGACCTTTTATATAGATGGGCCTACTTAATTTTGCTTTTGCTAATTTGCTTCCATTTATTACCCACCTGTCTTCAACTAAATATTGTGTTTCCTTAGGTGACTCGGTAATGATATTTCCACCACCTCCACCACCTTACTTTCCTGAATCTTCAGCTTCTGCGGTCACTGAGAGTCCTGGGACTAACAGTCTGCTTCCAAATGAAAGCCCCCCTTCATATTACAGTATTTTCAACCATGGGTAAGAATTTCAATTTGAACTTTGAGAGAGGCTTGAATTCAGGCCACACTAGTATTAAGGCTGTGGTTCACCAGGAGGCATTTGAGTATTTTTTTTGCTGATGTTATGTCAGAATTTGTGTCTTGATATTAACAAGTACCTTTCAGGAAACTTTGGGCAGCACATAAGTTAAAAATGATAAAGTGATCATGCTGGGTGAATATGAAGCCTACTCCAGGCATCTTTATGTGCTCCTAACAGGGGTGATACTTAGAATGTTTAACAACCCTTGCCGGGTGTGGTGGTTTACACCTGTAATCCCAGCACTTTGGGAGGCTGAGGTGAGTGGATCACTTGAGCTTGGGAGTTTGAGACCAGCCTGGCCAACATGGCAAAACCCCGACTCTACTAAAAATAGAAGAATGAGCTGGGGATCATGGCAGGCATCTGTAATCTTAGCTACTCAGGAGGCTGAGGCATGAGGATCCGTTGAACGCCAAGAGGCAGAGGTTGCAGTGAGCCTGTTACCGCTGGAGGGTGTCCAGGTTATTGGTGTTTTGAACAAAGAACTGGACAAAATGCACAAACAAAGCAAGGAAAGAATGAAGCAACAAAAGCAAAAATCTATTGAAAATGGAAGTACACTCCACAGGGTGGGAGCAAGCCTGAACAGCTGCTCAAGGGCCCAGTTCCAGAATCTTCTTGGATCCAAATCCCCCTTAGAGGTTTCCCATTGGCAACTTGGTGTTCACCTCATGTAAATGAAGTAGTGGCCCACAATCAGTCTGATTGGTTGAAGAAAGCAGCCAATCAGAGGCTGAAGTGAGGTTACAAAGTTGCACTCCTATGCAAACTTTCAATTTCCCATCTGCCAAAAGGTGGGTGTTTGCAAAGGGAGTAGTCTTTGGTCATTTCGTTACTTACGGGTGGAAAGTTAGGGTTTTCCTTTCAATTTAGTTCTAGGAAGTCAGCGTGAAACAGCCGTAGGTTCCCTGCTTCCAGACCCTATTCTTGTGCCCCGAGCCGAGATTGTGCCACTGCATTCCAGCCTGGGCAACAGAGTGAGACTCTGTCTCAGAAAAAAAAAAAAAAAAAGAATGTTTGACGAGCCACTAATCAGACTGAGCGCCAGGACTGGGCCAGGAGGCCCCTGCTATGCTAGGCTTCACTGCTTTCGATCATGGAGAGGTGTGAGGGTTCCAGGGGATTCCCAACAGTTACAGAAGGGCTTTAGTACTCTGATGGCTGTGCTTGGGTGACTGGCTAAAATCAGCCTAAGCCCTGACCCAACACAGCTGGACCTCTCCTTCAATATTTGCTCCTTCCCTGGGCCACAGAGAACATCAGGTCAACACTCACCCTACTCAGAAGGCTGCGAGGCGGGCTCTAGTGGGACGGGCCAGAGGTGCCAGGAGCCTGGGGTAGGGGATCCAGATGGAGAATGACACTGAGGAGGAGGCGGAGATGATGAGTTCCAGGGTGAGTGACAGGGAAGCTCAGAGGTCCCCAACTGAGAGGACGTGGGTGATGAGCTTGGTTTTGGTGGTGGGCGGCTGATGGTGGAGGCACAGTGAGATGAGGGCCTTGGAGGCAAATTGGGAGGAGCTGGGTTTTGGGAGAGAGAGGAGGTGGTGGAGATGGAGCTGCAGAGGTTGTTGGAGAACCAGGAGGGCGAAGAGTCAGGAACTAGTGGGAAACCCCCAGGAGTGGATTGTGCAGATCCCAGAAATGGTGTGCTCAGCGAGCAGGGCTGGAGAAGGCTCTGGTGGTACCTTTTAGAATGGGAAACTAGGGTGCAGGAAGGAAGAATTGCTTCAAGTTGTCACTGGCTGAAGCAGGTAAGACAATGAGATATGTGCATTTTTGCACGCAGTGAGCAGCAGGGACAGAGAGACTGGTGCTCACTGCTGGGGACAGCACCACCTTACCTTGTCATTTGTGTTTGAGGAACTCCCTCTCCACCCTGCCCTGACAGAGCAGACAGTGGGCCCTGGAGCAGCGGCCAGGGTGCTTTTCCTCTGGGGCCTGGAGAGAGTGAAGTTGTGTAGAGATTCTTTTTCCACAGAAGTAAGGGGACAGGTTATCTGATGGGAGAGGGAAAGAGGTGGCTGACAAGGACAGAATTGGCTTTAGAGCTTCGTATGGGGTCGTGGTGGGGGGATCCAGGGAGGTGCATGTGGGAGCGGCCCTGCATGGAGGAAAGGCAAGCTAGGGCTGGACCTCTGTAGAATTCTCATCGTGAATGTTTGTATTTTTTTTTTCTTCTAATGATAAACTTCCCCAAACCCTAAAATCAATATCTAGTAACTTAAACTACTGCTGCTGCTACTATGATTTCTGTGTCCCAGGGTCTGGCTTTTCTTGCATTAGTTTATGTAATTCTCATATCCACTCTAGGAGAAAGGAACGTTATCATCCTCATTTCACAGATAAGGAAACTGAGGTTTAGCAATGTTAATTCACTTGCCCAAGATCACGTAACTGGGAAGCAGCAGAGTAGATTCCAGTGCAGGTCGACTTTTGTTAGAGCCCACTCCATTAGCCAGTATGCCTTCCTGCCGTCCTTCAGGTTTGTGGCTTAATGTTTTAATTTTCCATATGCATAAGTTTGTCTGCCTTATGTTAGCTGTCCCAGAAGACAGAATAGCAGAGAACTGTGTGTGTGTGTGTGTGTGTGTGTGTGTGTGTGTGTATGTGTATGTGTGTGTGTGTCTGCCTATGGTCTCCTTGGATGGTATCTGCAAATTTGTATTAAATGTCTTTTCAATGACAAGGGGAATGACAGCAGGAGTGAAACTGTCTTAATGTTACACTCAGCTCTAGGAAAAGGAAGAGGTAAGAAATCAAAACAAATCTATGAAAAGCAGAGTGTGGGAGAAATTACTCCTCAGTTTCTTGCAAATACTCCTAAGTACATGCAATGAAACGTTTGAAAAGAACCTAGTACTAAAGGGGCGTCACTGTTTTCATTCCCTCCCCTTCATGTTCTCTCTCCTTCTCTTTAGCAGGACCCCAGCTTCAGAGGGTGTAGCCTCTGAGAGAGACTGTGAATCTATATATACCATTTCCAGGACGAATTCATCTTCTGAGGTCTCACATACTCCTCATCTTCCATCTGAATTGCCTCCTAGATATGAAGAAAAAGAAAATGCTGCAGCTACATTCTTGCCTCTATCTTCTGAGCCTTCCCCACTGTAAACTATGGACTACAGCTCAGTTTTATATGTAATGGATCACTATTTTATTTAATTTGTTTTTTTAATAAAAAATACAATAGCATTGGCTAGATTCTGACTTTCCTGCTACAGCATCAACAGGGGTAACCAACCTTCCAGGTTAGATTCCAGCCATTAGTGCTTCAGACCATGGAAAGGGGCAAAGTGCCCAGGGTCCAGGAACTGAACGTGCCCTCTTTGGATAGCATCTATTCATTTGTACTCAATGTCTTTTCAATGAAAAGGGAATGACAACAGGAGTGAGACTGTCTTAATTTATTCATTTGTACATTATACACTTGGACCTACAACCCTGGGAGGGAGGTGAGATTATTTTTATTGGTGGATAAAGAAACAAAGGTTCAGAGAGTCTAATTAACTTCTTCAAGGTCACATAGCTTCTACATGATGGGCTTGGTTTTGAACCCAGCTAGCTGGTTTCTGAAAGACTGGCTCCCTACCCTGTGCTGTCAGAGGCTACCAGCAGCAGTGGTTAATGTTTAGCTTGGTCTGTTCTCTCTCCAGGGTTAGCTGCTTCTGAAACAGAGAAACAAGATTACTCCCTTCATTTCTTTGTTATTTCTTCTCTTCTTCCCTTTTCTCTTTCTCTCCCCTCCTCTTTTCTCCTCTTCTTACTCCCTTTTCTTTCCTTTTGAAAGAAGATGATTAGGGAGGCTTTATGCTGGGACAGTCACAAGCATGTTGATGTCCTGGAGTCTTTTTATAGTGAAATTTCTTGACAGGAAATTTCTTGGGACACTTTGGCAACTAGATTCTCCTCAAGAGGCTCAGGAAGGATTTGCCTTTCTGTATGATGACATACTAGAACAAAACTGTCTGAACCATTGCTTTTTTATTCTTACAAGGATACTGCTAGCCAAAGCCTATTGTATAAGTTGGGTGTGTTAATATATATTTAATGCCAGATCTAAACCTTAAGAAATAATGACTAATAGCCTTCCTTCCTTCCTTCCTTCCTTGCTTTCTTGCTTGCTTTCTCTCTCCCTTTCTTGCTTGCTTTCTCTCTCCCTTTCTTTCTTTTCTCTTTCTTTCTTTCTTTCTTTCTTTCTTTCTTTCTTTCTTTCTTTCTTTCTTTCTTTCTTTCTTTCTTTTTTCTTTCTTTCTTTTTCTTTCTTTCTCTTTCTTTCTTTCTCTTTCTATCTCTCTCTCTTTCTCTCTCTCTTTCTTTTCTTTTCTTTCTTTCTTTCTTTCTTTCTTTCTTTCTTTCTTTCTTTCTTTCTTTCTTTCTTTCTTTCTTTCTTTCTCTCTCTCTCTCTCTCTCTCTTTCTTTCTTTCTTTCTCTCTTTCTCTCTCTCTTTCTTTCTTTCTTTTCTTTTTTTTTCTTTCTGTCTTGCTCTGTTGCCCAGGCTGGAGTGCAGTGGCACGATCTTGGCTCACTGCAAGCTCCACCTCCCAGATTCAAGCAATTCCCCTGCCTCAGCCTCCCGAGTAGCTGGGACTACAGGTGCCCACCACCACGCCCGGCTAATTTTTTGTATTTTTAGTAGAGACAGGGTTTCACCGTGTTAGCCAGGATGGTCTCGATCTCCTGACCTCGTGATCCACCTGCCTCAGCCTCCCAAAGTGCCGAGATTACAGGCATAAGCCACTGCGCCCGGCTGACTAATATTATTTCTAACTGGAAGAAACTGATTTTTAGAATATGAAATCTGTAGTAACAGCTTTTTTGGTAACAAAACTTAGTGTAGCAAAAATGTGAATTTTTTAATGCCTTTTACACAAGCCATAATCTCACCCTAAATTGGTTTATTCCTACATTTAAGTGCCTGAAAGCAGAGCAAAGGGGCATGCATGCTCCAACAGTTTGACTGAAGTAATGACTGATTTCATGTGAATCGCCACTGAGCTCAGTCAGGGTGGCAGTTGGTACCAGCAGTACTGATCTGTTTTTAAATTGGACATTTATTGGCTTGAACTGCTCTTAAAATTCTGCTATTTTTCCTCCTGAGAGGTTAATTATTCACATTTAAAAATTAGAACAAAACTTCCTTCTGCCGTTGTTTAAAATGCTCGAGCTCAAACTTCCAGGTAGAATTACTTTTAAGCATTCATGAGTCCTCATATTAATCAAGAACCTTTTAAATGGCTCAGCATTGGGTTTTGTAACTGGGTATTTTACATTTATATGCTATGCTAATAAACTTAAGCAAGGGATTTGCCAGGCTCAGGAATAAGTTTGATCTTCTGGTTATGGAATCTCCTCTGGTTCCATCGCAGTATTCAGCAAACCTGAGACTGAAGCTGAAGTCTGCAAACCTCCCGGCTTTGAAAATTCTGAAAGTGTGAGGATGTTTATTGCAGGGCCGAAATCACATGCAGCAGAGCTAGGCCAAATCAGTTACCCCCAGCAAGATGCGTTCTTTTCCTATCACGGTGCTGGCAGAGGATGACAGCTTCTGAAAGCCCCCCTCGGTGGACTGTGACTTGTTTTTCTTTGGTTTGTTAGCTTTTTTATTGAGGTAAAATTTGTATAATACAATGAACAGTGTATGTATGTATGTATGTGTGTGTGTGTGTATTTTGAGACTGGGTCTCACTTTGTTGCCCAGGCTGGAATACAGTGGTGCAATCACAGCTCACTGCAGCCTCTAACTCCGGGCTCAAGCCATCTTCCTACTTCAGCCTCCTGAGTAGCTGGGATTATAGGCGAGTGCCACCACACCCAGCTAATTTTTAAAATTTTTCATAGAGATGGGATTTTACTATATTACCGAGGCTGGTCTCCAACTCCCCAGGTTCAAGCAGTCCTCCCGCCTTGGTCTCCAAAAGTGTTGGGATTGTAGGTTATGGAAGTCTATTTCATTTCCATCAGTCCTTTGCCATATTCAGTGGGTGAGTTCTTGTGCCCAGTCTACAATTAACCATTTTAAAGTGAACAATTCAGTGGCCTTTAATACATTCACAGTGTTATACAAACCACCACCTCTATCTAATTCCAAGTCATTTTCATCACCCTAAAATAAAACCCCACATACATTAAGCAGCCCCTCCTTCTCCTCCTCTGTGCCCCAGCTCCTGGAAAACACCAGTCTGCTTTCTGTCTGTATGGATTTACCTATTCTGGATATTTCATATAAGTGGAATCATATAATATGTGACCTTTTGTGTCTGGCTTCTTTCCTTAGTGTGTGTTCAACGTTTATCCATGTTGTAACATATATCAGTACTTCATTTTTATGGCCAAGTAATACTCCATTGTATGAATATACCATATTTTGTTTATCCATTCATCCATGGGTGGACATCTGGGTTATGTCTACCTTTTGACTGTTATGAATGATGCTGCTATGAACATGCATGCGCAAGTATTTGTTGGAGTACTTGTTTTCAATTCTTTAGGGTATATACCTAGCAGCGGAATTGCTGGATCCTATGTTAACTTTAAGTTTTGGAAGAACCACCACCCTGTTTTCCACCATTTTAGATTTCTGCCAGCAATGTGTGAGGGGTCTAATTTTCCCATTTTCTCACCAACACTTGTTTTCTATTTTTAAAAAAGCATAGCTGTCCTACTTGATATGAAGTAGTTTTTCATTGAATTGTATTTCCCTAAGGGCCAATGATATTGAGTATCTCTTCATGTGCATTACTTGGTTTGGAATACCAGACATTATCATCAGCACACAGAATCTGACAAGTCTTGCTCCAGATTTTCCTCCTATGGCTTTGGAAGGTCTGATGGCCCCACTCTAGATAAAATAGTGACGAGGTCTGCAAATTCAGGTGGGATGACCCAGCCATGCCACCAGAGGATGAAAGCTGAGGGGCAGGCAATATCCCCCAGTCTCTACCTGAGAGTTTCATGTGGGGATAGGAAGAGTGATGGTGCCTGCCACCTGCCCCAGTCGTGTGAATGTGGCCACTGGTTTTCTGATATGGGTGCCGTGTTGAGCACTGAGGCAATGTGGGTGGTGGGTCTTTCCGGAAGGGGCCATCATTCCAGGGTAGGTCTTGGGAAAGGAGGGGGTCCGGAGACAGGAACTAGGAATTAGACCTCAGAACTGGCCTTAGGTCATGGGAGAGAGACCCGGCAGTTCAGCCAATCAGCCAGGATCTTTCCTGAGAGCACATGCAGAGCTCAGGTGTGGGCCTGTCAAGTGGAGGGAGCTCCTGCAGCGTTTCCTAAACTTCAGGAAGATCAGTACCACCTAAAGTAATTGTTGAAAATGTCAAATTCCCCTGCCCAATAAATCTACCACCTCCTCCACCCCAGGAGATAATGTTTACCATCTGGGAATCTGGGAAACGCTGCCCATGGTGACAAGATAAACTGCAGAGGTCACACCCTGTGGTCTAGATAATCTGGGATTATGACCTCTCTTGTCACTGCTCGGCCTTCTGGGGAGTCCTGTTTACATGTCCCAGCCTGTGCTAGGGGTTCTCATGGGGAGGGGTGTGGGTTCACAGTCAGCCCCCAGCCCCCAGTGCTCATGGGGGCTTCCTACAGTCTCTCTGTCCCAGCGTCCCAGGAAGCTCTGTTGGTGAGACACCCACAAGGGCCTGGGAAACAAAGCCAGGGGCTCATCACCTGCCTGTTCCTCTCACAAGTGTGCAGTTCCCCTCTATCTCCAGACGGGGGGGTCTCGGATTCATTGATTAAGGAAGGTGTGGTTTTTATCTTTGCTGCTTCATCTTGGAAGAGGCCAAGACTGTGCTCCTAGGAGCACCGGATGATGTTTATCACAACAGGCAGAGATGGAGGAAGATGATATTTGGGTCAAAATGGACAATACTGGAGACTGCAAGTGAGGAGGAGTGTGAAAACGGTCCTGGCCCTCAGTGCCCCCAACGCCTGGTGAATCGGGGTGGGTGACTTTACTGGGTTAGGATGGTGGGCTGGCTTCTGCTGGCTGCTCCCTGGGTGCAGAAG